TTGATTTCTTACCTGAAGAAAGAGTTTTATCATCTTGCAACAGGTTTTTGAAGCAGAGCAGTCAAGAAAACTTCACCATGTTTCGAATCAATTTTATTCGCCACCGCCCATTTCACCTTCTTATAACCCAATTTTCCGATCATCGGCGCATAAACATTTTCAAGATCGACTTTCTTGCTAAAGAACCGATCCAACCATAGATACCCACCACCACGAAGAATCCGATCCAAATCGAAAAACAAAAACTCCATTACCGTAACCGGAATCCACCGGTTCACCGCTCTTCCACACCGGACCAAATCAACAACCCCGTCAAACACCGGAAGCCGCTGCTGGAGCGGCACGTGAAGCGGCACAAGCCCTCTCATCGCCACCGCTTCGCTATACGGCGCGTTGAAATTCATCGTCGTTGTTAAAACCGTGACGTTTTGTGCCTTCATAGCCGCCGCGAAAGATCCAGTCCCACCTCCGACATCGATCCCTAACCGGAGAACGGAATTCGCTGATTTAGCGATCTGGAGAAGCTGCGTGACCGGTAGATCAAGCTCAGATTTGTAATTGGAGAACTGAGATTTAGATTTCTCGAGCGAGAGATCAAACCCTAGATCAGGGAATTTAGTAGTCAAACAATCAAAGCTTTTGCAAGCGTAGTAAGACCAAATAACATTAGATTCCGGTTTTGATTCCGACGGATTTTTCGGTGTTCGAGAGAAGCAGCGACGGCGAGGTAAAGGGTGGCAGCCACGGAGGATGAGTTTCTCGACGAGATCGGTGTCGGAAGGACAAAGAGAGTAAGGAGTGTAGTTCATGTAGTCATGGAGGAGATCAGGGTAGTTATGACAAGCTGAAGCAATCGGAGAGAGTCTAGAGTAGAGGAGGAGATCTTTCGAGACGGCGGCGCGTGAAGTCACTGTCGATGAGGTTGATTTGGGGTCAGGTTGGTGGTTTGTGAGGTGGTTAATGGCGGCGCGGATGGTGTGGAGTTGACGGAGGAGGTGGTTGGGGACTGTTGGAACAGAGGATTGTGAGGAATTGATGGTTGATTGGAAGAAACTTGTGGTGGAGGAGAGATGGTAGAGAGAGAGGATATTCGTAGCTACCATTGCTACTAGTAGAAGAAGATTCAAGCTCATAGTGAATCCCGCCATTTCTGTAGCTAGAGCTTGGATGGATCCACAAGTTCTTGAATCTCGGAATCTGTGTGATGGTTTTCAGACACAGATTCTTAAGGCTTTAAATGGTGTCTTAAAGCCAAGATTTCTGGGTTTTTTGGAGGTAGTGACACTTTGAGAACTGAACTGTAAAGATAAGCTTTTTTTTCACCTTGAAAACTCAAGAAGTCAAAAATCTAAGTAGATACAAACAGAGATCTGAGTGTATGTATATATATTTATTATTATTTTGCAATGGAAAAAGCAAATATCGAATCCAATGTGGCAATGTCATTATTAGTTTTTTCAAATTTTGCATGGGAGAGTAATAAACCTTTGGTGAAAAGTTGTTGGAACAGTAAATAAAAATCTCTTGGTAGAGGTGTGTAAGGGCATGACCATCCATGATACAAGGAGAGTATCAGTTGAATAAACAAATATTAAAAACACATTCTCTCTTTCTTTTATTCAACTTTATACCTTCTCTTTCGTCCTTTTACTCAACTTTTATTAATTTTATACTCTCTTTAAATATAAAATTATTAAAAACACATTCTTTCTCTCTTCAAAAGTATCAAAAGTATCAACTATTTGATACCCTCTCTCCAAAAATATCAACTATCTNTTCNCTTTANTCAAATTTNATTAATTTTATATTTCAATACACCCCACTATTTCAACCAAAAACACTCTCTTTCTTCCTTTAACTCAAATTTTAATAATTTTATATTTAATGATACCCACATTGAATCACCACTAAACATGCTCTAATAAACATAGAAATTTAACAGATCTGTTTGTGTTTACACTCTACTCT